TAGTATGTGTTCTTTTTCTTAGTCTTTTACAATAGTGGTCCTCTGCAGTATTTCTCCTTTTGTGACTGATTAATTTCATTCAGCATAATGTCCTCAAGGTTCATCCATGTTATTCAGTGGCTTGCAGCTTCCTTGTTATTTTTCAAGGTAGCATAATATTCCATTATGTGTATGTATCACAGTTTGTTTATCCATTCTGAGATGTAATAGTTTTGACTTGCAGTTTAAATATGAATGATTATCTTCATAGTGATAGTTTCAGTGCATCAAAATATGAAAATTCCTCTGTTGAGAGCTAGAAAGCTGTATTGCTTGCTTGAGAGATTTGTTCAAAATCTTACTTCCTGCAGTTTGTCATTTTTAAATTATACCTAGAAATTCTTAAGAGAAAATAAGTTAAAAAGATAACCATGGGATTAGCAAAATAGAGACGTAACATTTGAGGGATATTATTTCCATACTGAGAATTATTTTTTAATGTTTTTCTTTCCTATGTCCACTTGTCTGTGTGCTAAACAAAATAGAAGAAAGGACTTTTTAACCTGTTAATTGATGTTTGTTTTTGATTTGATACTTAGAGAAATAAAAGCATTACACTTTTAAAGTCTAAATGTTTACTTAAATTGTTTTGATACAAAAATTCAGTTCTTATTTAGTTGTATTTTTGTCATAATTCTGACTTACAGCATCATTTTCCTGCTTTTTAATTTTTTAGATACACACAAACCCATGTTTTTACCAGTCTTCTGGGAAGAGCGAGCTATTACCATTGAAGATAAATGTGTGGCGCTGGTTGCATCCTGGAGATTGTTTTTCTTTGTTAGTTGACAAATATATTTTCCGTGTTATCTCTGCACACTCTGAAATGGAAATGGAATGCACTTTAAGGTAAGATCATCTGCTGACAGTAAGTAATGGTGTTTGGAATCAAATTCATCAGCCATCCCAAAATGTATTGACAAAAAATGCTCTTCGATTAAATTATATGGGAGATACAGCAGCCATATAATTCTTTGTGGATGTGCATAGGTTTGTTTGTTTCTAGAAACCATTTGACTTCGGAAACTTATTATGCCTCATAGTGATTTTTTCCAGTTGTAGTGTCTTTTACCATTGTGTTTAGACAATGTATTTTTATCAAATAGTACCAAGATAGCTAATTTGAAATTGATTACATTTTTTTCTTATTTTTTTTAGCTTCTTTAATCTTATATAATTATCAACCTCTGGGTTAGACTATATATCACTCCTTATTCTTACAAAAATGACAGAAAATGTAGAATAGGGAAACTGAGTATATGAGACATTAGAACAAACAGTGATAATGATTCACTAAAATAAGTGATAATAAAAATAGATTATATTGTATATAGATAAATTTCCGAGTTTGAAACTGTTTACTTAACATATTCTGGTAACACTATTGTAATTCATGTGATAGTTGTACACATAAGAATTACCTGGGGACCTTGTTAAACTGTATGTTCTGACTCAAGAGATCTGAAGTGGAAATGCAAATTCTAGGCAGGGGGTCCAACTGGAATTAACCAGTCTGAGGCCCTGATTCATAATAATAAAAAAATGGAAACAGTTCATGTGTCCATCTGCTGATGAGTAAAAAAACAAAATGAGCTATATCTATACAATAGATTTTTCAGCAATATAGTTTCCCACCAAATTTTTGTCAAATATAGTCATGTAAGGAGCTCTGGTAGCGTAGTGGTTACGAATCGGGCTGCGAACCTTAAGGTCAGCAGTTCGAAACTACCAGCCGCTCTGCAGGAGAAAGATGAGGCTTTCTACTCCCGTAAACATTTACACCCTTGGAAACTCTGTACAGGGTCGCTATGGGTCGGAACCGACTCGACGGCACTTAACAACAACAACAACAACTGCCACCACAATGAGAAAAAGCATTTCCATTTCCCCAGAGTTCCCTCATTCCTCTTTACGGTCCAGTCACCTTATTCCTTTTCAAGTCCCTGTCAAACACTAATCTGATTTTGTCTCCATAGTGTTGCCTCTTCAGAATGTTCTAGAAATGGAATCATACTATATAGAACCTTTCACTCAGCACACTTTTCTTTGCTTAGCATACTGCCTTTGAGAGTCATCTATGCTGTTGCACATTGCAGTTCTTCATTCCTTTTTGTTGCTAAACTGTATTTCATCTACATTCTAAATTTTTCAAAAAAATACATTTGTTGGATAATCTATGTGATGAATGCGTATATTGAGTAATAATGAATCAACAACTTCAGATGATTTTACTGTACTTTACAGAAAATATGAATGAAGGAATTAGTTCTCTTAGTATACTGCACACATGACCGTGGATGCTCTCATCCTAGGACATTTAGCTTCCAGTCTGGCTACAAATTGGAGAGATTTCACAAAGGGCTCTACGGGTCAAGATCCCAGAAGCAGTTATATTTGAGCGGCATACAGGATTTCCTTTATTGCCAATAGTGTAACTAGATTAGTGTGATAATCTTGCAGTTTACTTTTTTGTTTGTCATTGGAGGCTGGGTGGTAATCTTAAATTTTGTAGAGTCTCTGGACAAATATTGAATGAATAAGTAAATAAATAGCTCTCAAACAGTTTGAGAGCGATGGCTGCTACCAGTCTGATAAATAACTATGACTTTTAGGCTTATGATTTGAAAAGTTTAATGCATTTTGTGGTGATACAGCAGACAGAAGAGGAAAAACGTATTTTGTACCAGTAAACTAATCTGGCCTTTCATTTTGCCGAGTTTGAGAAAAGGAATAAAACTCACTACTCCCATATACCAGGAGAATTCACAGTGGCTTGCCTAGAGAGCAGAAGCTTTTAAAATTTAATTTACATGATTAGAAAAATAATTTTTATTTTGTAGAAACAGTCAAATGCTTGAAGAAGATGATATATTGGATGACATATCCAACCCTTATTCACTTAATTTGTCTGATGAGAAAACTAGTAATCCACAGCTGGAAAAAGGCACAGAAACAGCCAGTACCTCGGCTCCGACTGAAAATCGTATGGTAAGAAATTTAAGATCATATCCATTTAATATTTGTTCCTTAAGTTGTTTTGAGCAGAGAAAAGGCAACTGAAATTAGACATACTATTATGACAAAATTGCTATCATTGATCTGCATTTTCTGTTCTTAAGTAAAAACTTGTCAGAATAGCATAGAACTACTCCTTGGGGTTTCTGTGACTGTAAATCTTAACAGGAGCAGACAACCTCATCTTTCTCCATAGAATGGCTGGTGGGTTTGAACCACTGACCTTGAGGTTAGCAGTCTGATGATTAACCAATGGCAACAACAAAGCTCCTGTTTTTAAGTAAAACTTGAGAGACTACCAAACTAGTCCAATACTTTAATTAGTAGAGGTAATGCATTTCTCTGAGAAATTTGACTAACCCAGTCCATTGTTGATTTTTTCATCGTTGATTTTTTAATGGTAATTATCTATGAAGTAAATAATTTCTGAGATTTATTTGTTATTTTTAGTAATTAATCTTTGCCTTTTTAGTCTGATCTAAAGGAATGTGGAGACCTTTATAAGCAACACCCAAATCTTGCCCAAAGGAAAAGAATCCTTCCAGCTTGGATGTTAGCAGAAAGTCTACGTGATCAAAACCTTTCTGTACCAGTCACCAGTGAAGGTAAGTTTTTGTTTCTGCTAATGCTAAGATTTTCATGAAAATAATACCTAGGATTTGGAAGTTTTCCTGAACAGATGGTGATAAGAGCTATTGTTAAGTGCAATGAAGTCATTTCTGCTTCATAGCGACCCTGCATATGGTTTCCAAAGAGTAGCTGGTGGGTTTGAACTGCTGATCTGTGGTTAGTAGTCCAGTGATGATCTACATGAAGTTTAATTTTAAACATAAGCTGTTTTGTGCCATTTGTGAAACATCATCTTGCTAATTTAAAAAAAATTTAACAAGCTGTATTTATCTGTTAAGTCTATGTATTTAGTTTGTTAAGGCTACTGTAACAAATTAACACAAAGTTGGCGGCTGAAAACAACAGAATTTATCTTCCCACAGTTTGGGTGCCAGATGTTCAAAATCAAGATGCCTTCAAGGCCATGTTCCCTCTGTCTGAAGATCTTAAAGGGAAGACTTTTTTTTTTTTCTTCAAAATTGCTTTTTTTTTAAGTTTTTATTGTGAATTGAGTGATAGTTTACATGGGGGAACATCAGTTCATTTCACTGCAATGATTACAATCCCCTGCATGCTTCATCATTCAACAGTATTGCTCCTATTCCCTTTGTTTTTGTTTTGTTGTGTTTTTTTTTTGTATGTGTTCCAAAATACTCAGGAATATACAATCATTCAAACAGCCAATAGGAGCTCTGGTAGCATAGTGGTTATGAATCAGACTGTGAACCTTAAGCTCAGCAGTTCGAAACTACCAGCCACTCTGTGGGAGAAAGATGAGGCTTTCTGCTTCCATAAAGATTTACAGCCTTGGAGACCGTGTACAAGGTCGCTATGGGTCAGAACCGACTCCATGGCTCTTAACAACAACAACAAACAGCCAAAGGGCACACCCTGCCCCCAGGCTGCCAGCACACATCCCTTCTCCCTCCATGAGTCTTGAATCCTCAGCTGCTCCTGGGGAAGACTTTTTCTTGTGGCTCTTGGCATTGTTGTCTCTGGCTCCTTTGTCACATGGTCTTTTTCCCAGGTGTATCTCGATGTGTCCACTACTCTTATAAGGATACTACTGATTGGGTTAGGGCTTATTCTAATACAGTATGACTTCATCTTAACTAATGACATCCACAAATAAGGTGCTATTCTGAAGTTTTTTGAATTTTGGGGAGACACTATTTAACTGTATTAATACAGATTTTTAAACTGTTAATGTTATATCTAAGATAAAAGTCTAGCTCAACACAATATGAGTTTTTTAATTAATTTAATCAAATAAAAAATGCTAGGCATACAGTGTTTGTGCTGGGGATTCAAAGAAGGTGTGGCTTCTGCCCTAGCATAGTTCACAGATTTATGTTTCCTATAGGTGTTTCCAATTCTTTCAAGATTTTTTAAATGTTAATTGCATCAGTTTATTTAAGCAACATTTTATTTGGCAGTATACCCACTCCTCGCTTATCTACTTCTTTTGGTTCCAAACACCAGGTAGTTTATGGGAAAATTGCCATTATGTGGAAATGGAGGGTGATAACACCATTACACAAGTGCCAAACCGCTGGTAATCACGGCCCAGCCACGTTGGTGCATAACCTTAACTATCCCAGTCAGCACTACTCTTACCTCGAAGAAACTGGGTAATTACTAACTGCCAGATGTATAGTGTTAATGCCCAAGCGCACAAGTTAATAGGTTGTTGTTGTTGTTGTTTTTTTTACTAGATACGTAAATGTCAGATAATGAGATAGTTGCTAGAAACCTGAAGCTCGTTTAATAGGAGGGGAAGTTTGAGCTTCCTGAGGATTGTCATGCAATCCCAAGGGTAGGAAATAAAGTCAGGTTCTATAGGAAGTGGAGCCCAGGCAGTCTTCCTTCCTCCCTTCTATCTCTTCTTAACAAAGACTATTCCATTCTGCTCACCTATGACTTTACATATGGTTTTTACTTGCCTCACAATTCTGTGGTCCTTAAGCAAGTCCTGTGCTTATCCAACAGCACCATAACAGGTTTCTTGTATATACCAAATAAGAATGTAACTAGTTTTAAAATCTTGCTAGTTCTGTTATATAGTACTACTTTTTTTTAATATTAGTTTAGCCAGTGTTGGCTAGAAATAGTAATAAATAGAACTGTGTATCAAAGTATTTTTTAAAAGGTTTTCTATATAATGCTTTGAAAAACTAAGTAGAAAAAGAGACAATTTTATCAGATTTGAAAACGATCTTTTAATTTTTGTGGTGAAAAATGTCAAAAATAATACTACCTTGAAGATATCCCACCTGAGTTTAGAGATCATCTAAAGAACAGATTTAATACATTAAACACTAAAAGCCGAAGACCAGAAGAGTTGTGGCATGACATCAAGAACATCATACAGGAAGAAACCAAAAAGTCATTAACAAGGCAAGAAAAAAGGAAAAGATGAAAATGGATGTCAGAAGAGACACTGAAACTTGCTCTCCAGTGTAGAGATGCTAAAACAAATGGAAGAAATGAGGAGGTCCAAGAGCTAAACATAAAATTTCAAACATCAGCTTGAATAGACAAAGTCAAATATTACAACGAAATGTGCAAAGATCTGGAATCAGAAATTCAAAAAGGAAGAA